GATAGCCATACAGTTGAATGTGGTTTTAGGTTTTTTTGTACCTTCTCTATTTTTATTTTTTTCTTGCAACACCTTTTGGCACGCAATTGAAAAGGGACTTTAGATCAAGTAAACGGACAAAGTAATTAAACATTTTTACCAGTAATAAGAAGAAAGTGTTAATTTGTTACGGTTTGTACCTTCTCTATTTTTATTTTTTTTCTTGCAACACCTTTTGGCACGCAATTGAAAAGGGACTTTAGATCAAGTAAACGGATAAAGTAATTAACCATTTTTACCAGTAATAAGAAGAAAGTGTTAATTTGTTACGGTTTAAATTTTTTAGATTAATTTGTCCGTTTACCTTATCTAATCACTTCCGAAATAGCTTACCAATGTGTGTTGCAAGTTTAATAAAGATAAAAATAAAAAACAGAGTAAGTATCATTTTATAGAATTTCACAAGTCAAACAGCTTTAGGGGACTCACACTTCTATTACTTTTAGGTCATTTTTGAAAAGGTCTATGTCAGATGGAGTTCTTATGTATGAGAGTCCTTCGCCTACAACACCAGCTGAAGTTAGTAATTATCACCATACTTTACCTGACTTAAAAGAAGACAAGAGTGGTCTTTCAGATTCGACGCCTGAGATGCCAACTTGTGACGTCAGCGATGCTAATGTATCTTATACAAGGTAAAGCTATGGCTCTTTCTTACATCTGGTAATATGAGGGTTTTTTTTAGCTAGCTTTATCTGAAGGCGTTGTATAATTTTAGCTAGCTACATCTATTATTCTGTTTGATTTATGCCCTTGCCTTTTGTAGTTTCAGTACCACTTTAGTTTGGCCATAAATTAAACTGAATAACTGTAGCATGAATGGGAAGTTCTCTATATAGCAATGGATTACACTTTCAGCCCATAAAGATTGCAAAAACATGTGAATTTATCTTGCACTTTGTCAATCAATTCCATTCAAATATTTTTCTTAAATCATCCATTTGATTTAAGGAACACAATTTGAGCATTGAAATTGCTAGATGCTATTCACTGATTCAATTGAGGTGCACAAATTTGTCATTGTTTAACTGCTGTGCAACATGATTTTAAATCTCGGATGCGGTTACATAACCACTTTCGCGGGCAACTAAGCTGTTGCAGCCTAATATTTAGGTCTTGGTAAGCTCAAATCCTGTAAAATGTGGCCACGATGTGTGGTGATGTAGCCATTTAATACCATGATATGTAATGTAATTGGATGTTTAAAAGCGCATGATTTGGATAATTTTCCGTCAAAATACTTGTCAATATAACTTAGTTGATTATGTTTCCTAAATAATGTTGTTACTCCATATTTCTAGGTTTACTCCATCCATGTCAGCCCGTCGGCTTTTCACAGATATGCCAGAGACCAAATATATGAGAGGTGAATGTAGTTGTTACATCGAACATGGAAGTGAATTTGATTGTTCAGATATTCTTGATATTGATTGGATTTCATCATCGGGAAATTCATGCGAGGAGGACTCGTATGATCTGTAAGTCCCTTGAATTTCTTTCCCTGCATTTGAAATTTCCAAAAGCAATCTGTATGTGGTGTCAGTTATATTATTTGCTCTGTAGCCTAATGCTATTTTTATTTTTTTAGTCACTACTTATATTTCAAGAAAAGGAGGAAATTTTAAATATAAATAACCGCTACGAGTTATGACCATAATTAAAGCTCAATCATAACTTGAAATTGGTTTCCATGTGCATTCAGATCCTCACTTGTGAACTCTCCAGTTGGTGGTTCCCTGCATGGCAGTTCTGTAAATGATGCATCTCAGGTCAGTCTGCGTTACATCCTTGGTTAAGCCTTCTCTGTTAAAAATTGGTATGCTGTGTTTTCTTAAATAATTCTGGCTGATGACCTGTTGTCTGTACTGAATCCCTGTGTGCTGATTTCGTATCTGTTATATGTGCAACTATCTGATTTTGGCTAGCTTGTCCTGTTTTTGTCTGAAAATAGTTTATTGGGTGGATCTGATTTCATGTACTAATGATTCTGTTACCTGCAGGGGAGATTGCGAGATGCACCTAAAGCTGCAGATTTTCCTGATAGCTTCAAGCATTGGGTCGAGTTTGGATCAACTTTAGCTTAGTCTTTGCTACAAACTGCACAGATTTTATCTTAAACATTTTTTAAACAACCCCTCCAAAGGATATGGGTTGTGCAAACAGAATAAGTATCAGAAGATGAATGAAAAGGAAGAGGTCTTGGCACTAATAATACTATATAATGGCACAACAAAGAAACTACTGAGAGTCGATATTGACAGCTAATTCAGCTAATTCTTTACCGGAGGTCTTGTTATCTCCACACCAAATTAAGTTACAGTAAATTATAATGCAGCAGTCATCATTCTTGTAAATATCTGAATTTTAACATATTTTTGCTAGTTGCACCAGCTACTTTTTGACATTCTAGGGTCTCTCCTGTTTCATTTCATATAATTAGTTTTATCTTCGTACATATTTGATCATTGCCGAATAAGTTTTTGCTCTTTCCTCCTATGTAATTAGTACTATTATTTCGTGTAATGTGAATAAGTTTTCTTGTTTCTTTTTTATTTTCTTGATGAAACTCTAACATGTACAGATGTACTTTGTATGCTCTAATTTATGTCATATCTTTATCGTTTGATCTAACTATTTCTTTGTTTGCTAATTTGGTAAAGAATCTCCTAAAGTAAGCTGTGGATAAAGCAGCAAATACTGGTTGATTCACTAACTTATGAATTGGGAGCAGCAAGCAGCAGCAGCAGCTGCTGCTGCTCTACCACTCTTCCCTATTCCCTCAGCCCTGAAAATGATTGTCGAACGTCTGTGCTACCCAAAGTATATACCGTAAAAATATAACTCGTAGTACCAGTATCATAGACTCCTTTCATCGTCTAGTCTCAGTTAGGGCACCTGAATTTATAAAAACTCGTTTTATAATAAAGATTTGGCTTCATGACCTAAAGGTCATTGGATCAAACACCTCTTTAGATGGCTACTGGGTGGAAATTCATTCATTTTTCTTTACCCTACTCTCTAGGAGTTTGGCCGTTGAGGATGGTTTAAGGGTTTTGGTAAGGTAACTATCTATGTAACCTACTGTATTTATTTAAAAAATAAAAATAGTAGTATGTATATCCCGGATATTGGGAGCATATAATAATATTTTAATAGTATATCCTATATACTACCTCCGTTACATATTATTTGCAACGATTTGACATAAAGTAGAGAGGAAAAATGTCTAACCGTTGCAAATAATATGTGACGGAGGTAGTATTTTGAAATTAAGATTTTGGATTTCGTTATGATTTTAGAAGGATCCCATCAATATTCGATCCATCAATAATATTTTTATTTATATAGTAATGCAATACGCAAGGATGTATAAAGTTCAATAACGAACAATGCTTGGAAAGTTGGAATAGCAGTGAATGAATGAATGTATTGTAGGATTTGCATGTTAAACCCATTTTTAGTGTTTTTACAGGTGAGATGAATCCCTAAATAGGAATATACGGAAATAAATCAGCTACATTAAGTTACTTTTCAATCGGCAATTTTCTTTTAATCCATGAAAATCTAGTTGAATGTTATATTAATCCATATAATAATAGATTAATACGTAACAAAAATAAAGTACTATGTATATATCTTCATGACTAATTAGTCACTAATTTTTCATAATTATCTAATACATGTTCATGAAAACTGTATTCGTACTTAGTCCATTTTTGGTGAATGCGTAAAATGTTACATCATATTCTAGTTGTTTGGAGTTTAATTTCTCCAATCTAAACCAATTCCTCCAAAGTGAAGGGGTTCAATTCACATGAAATATCCCCTTCATGTATTATATTAATACTCCTAGTATTAATATACTATTATCGCATTAATTTAAAATTAATTGGCAAATGATTGAACTAATTTTAATAATGAGACAGAAGACTTATTCCATTGATGAAATCCATATACATACCAGAATGGGCAAGCAGTCATCAACTTATCAAAAATTATATATGTTGTCTAATTCAGTAGTTCGATAAGCTTATCATAATTAATAATCTAAAGTTCTAAACTTAATAACCATTTCTTTCTTACTTTAATATTCCTAAGTCTCCTACGAATACAGTATACAATTAACATGTAGCTACTAGCTAGGCATAACGTATGTGAGTTTCATAACAATTTTTTTAAAAAAAAACCTTTCCTTTTTTTTTATTTTTTTTTATATATTTATTCACGAAGTTTTCATCAAATTATAAATGACCTATAATTTTTTTTTATTTTTTTTTCTAATGTGGACCGTATGAGACTTTAACTTGGGGAAGATATTTACTAGTTAGACATATTTGTGGGTAAATAATTTTTTTTTTTAAAGAAATATAATTATGTACTTCGTATGTTGTATAATATTTAAATTATACGTAAACACTCTCAATAATTGTTGTTCTTTAATTCGTTCTTTAATAGCTCGATCTCCTTAAAGACAATGTTCTTTTGATCGGAGAAGCATCAAAATAAACAACGCTCTTTGGGAAGATGTAATAGTTTAATGGTTCTGTACTTCTGTTTTCTTTTGGATTTGACCCTCATTTGCATTTTTTTTTTCTTCTGAATAGTGCATTAATTTTTTTTTTATAAAGCTGAAATTTTCGAATTTTACAATAATGACGAATTATTAATGTATAATTACCTACATTACCCATATTATTAGGCTTAATGTCACTCTTCTAATTATCTTTGTTTTTTTTTGGGTGAAATTCTTTTTTGACAACAATTTGCAAAAATATAGGTGCACAGATTTTCCTTAAAAAAAAAAATTACCACAACAATAATCAAAGGCATACACTCCTAACTATATATTCTTCTATCTTTGTCTTATCATCAATGAAAAGATTCATAATCATCCTCTTCCATCAAACCACAAAATACCTAAAATGACAATTGATTCCTCAAAACTTTTACATTGTATTTAGATCATTTTCATCAAGTCAACAACATAATTGTACGATTAAGTATAGATCTACCTATCTTTACTTGAGTCATATCGACTATTGCATCTTAATTGCATAATTAACAACCCGAGGCATCGCCTGGGATACACACTAATTGCATTTTAATTGTATTAATTAATACGAACATTATTTCTTAACTAATTAATAGGGTAACTTGGAGTAATTAACCCAATAAACAACCTGTACTCGCAAGAAAAAAAACCAAAAAAAATAACCGAGAGTAACAAACATGAACAAAAAAAAGGGATTCACTCTTTACTATTGAGCTAGTACTAGGTCAACAGTAACACCGTAGTAAGTAGTAACTACCTTTTGTCCTTAGAAAACAGAAAAAACTGAAAGGTACTTTATTTGTTGGGGTACAGTACCTAGTTTTGGGATTTTGGGAACATTTTGAAAATATCCAAAAAAAAATTTAGAAAACAAAAAACAGCTTAGTATTAAAGTGAGGCTAGTTCAATTGTATTTTGGTGGGCGGCCTCTCCTCACTCTTTTTTGCTTTGATTTCGTCTCCTCCTTCCAGTTCCAACCCCTCTTTTTCTTCTCCTCAGGTGCTCAACAACAATTCTATACTCTCTGACGCTTCGATTCGATTCGACGAATATCATATCATCTTCGTATGTCACTCCTCGGGTTCTCCTCTTTATCAATTGCTTAGCATTTGATGTTTTTGTGTGATTTTTTATGAATTACAATTGTATTGATTAAATTCCGGAATTTGACGGGTTTTATGTGTTGTTGTTTTCAGGCGCAGATTAATGGTTGGATCAGAGAGGGGTGAAGAAGAGGTGAATTATAGGTTTCGTAAATTGGAAGAAATGGGGTCAGAAAATAAAAATATTGATAATGGATTAAACGACATAGTTCTTGAACAAGGTGAGAGCAGCAATAGCTCTCCTCCTTATTATTTGGAAAAATTCACCCTTTACGAAACCATAAAGGTGAATTCTTTACTCTACTTTTACTATCTATGATGATCGTGTTTTGTTATGCACATTTGATATTGTTAATGGTACATGATTATAATTGAGAATTGAGATAGAAAATTTATGTTTAGGGTCATTAATATTAAATGGACTAATCATGAGAGTATTTATTTTAATGGTCGTCTTTTGTTGGGTGATAGTTGAATTAGCCTGCTGTGATTAGGATATGATCTTTGATATTCATCCAGCTGTGGTACCAAACTCAATAATGGGTGCAGTGGTAGAATGTTAAATTATTAAACCTTGTGGCTTGTGCTAATGTACTCTAAACGAAGATGGAGGCTAGATATAGCGTTTTTTTAATGAAAATTATTGTGAATCACATTCAGAATGTATGCGTGCTTTTTTTTTTTTTTTTTTGTTTAAAAATTGTTAATCACAGCGAAAATGAAAATGTATATGTGTGTGTGTTTTTTTTTTTCTGGTATGTTAGTATTATTCTAGTGATGTTCAAGTGAATTAGGTGTATTAGATGTGCATTGTTGAATGAATTAGGGAAGTTTAAAGTGAGTACATTCAATTCAAGGTTAAGATTAGTGGCAATGAAAAATGTTTCTTAGCTTGTTATTGTATGGTAACATTATTTCTTTGTGATTTTATGAAATAGGATTTCTACATGGTTGGAAGAGATGCAAAAAGAGAGCATTGGAGGGTGTTAAAAATTGACAGATCTAAACCTTCTGAACTTGTTTTCTGTGAAGATCCAAAAACTTATTCATATGAGGCATGCAAGAGTTTATTGGGCGCCATACGTGGCCTCAAATGCGTTACCGATTACTACGGTATTGTAGGTGAGTCAAAACAAATACAAAAGAAATCACTTTTTTTACATTAAAATTACTTCTTCACGTATACCTTTTAATCTTATATTATTTTCTCTCATTTAATGATTAGGTTTCATCCAATTTGTGAAATCTTATCATATCCTTCTCATAACTGAGAGGAAAGAAGTTGGAAAGATTTTAGGTCATCCGATATATTCTATATCTAAATATAGGATGATTTCAATCTCGCAATCTACTGCTTTGACGTACATGTATAATTCTTCAAAAGAAAATAGGTACATTGGTCATTTTGAATATGAACTTCTATATTTTCTCTTTGTTAAAAGTTATATCGTTCTAAAAAGAAATACAATTCATGTGTATTGAACAGGTACAAGAAACTCTTGCAGCTAGTTGATCTCAGGGATAATTTCTTTTTCAGTTACTCATACCCTCTTATGAATAGGGTACAACATAATCTAAATAGTCAAGAAACGAGACTTTCTTATGATAACATGTTTGTATGGAATGAATATTTAAGTTATCAAATTAGGGAGAGTCTCAAATCTACTATTTGGACTGTTGCACTAATACATGGATTTTTCAAACAGGTAACCATAAATATAACAATAATCCTATAAACAATCAAATTTCTAAGTCATTATTTTGTTTCTTTATCGTCATTTTCAAACTTTCTATACATTTTATATGAGGAAGCTTCTCGATAATATACCATATACATTTGTATCAGGTTGAGTTATGCACTGGTGGAAAGAATTTCATTTTAACCCTTATTGCAAGAAGATCATGTCAATTTGCAGGCACTAGGTTAGTAGTGCATCCAAAATTTTCACATATGTATTTATTCATATGCTAAATGTGTCTTGAATACATAAATGTCAAAAATTTTAGGTATATATAATATATTGGTGAAAGTTTAGTTTGGTTCAAAATGTCCACTTGGAGCAAATTATTATGCTTAGGATTTTACCATTGAATTATAGAGTAGATATTTGTTAGTAATTTTTAACAGAAATAAAATAAAGGGCAGGGCTCATTAGGAAAATGATTCTAGAGTTGGGTTGTGGGGGTCAGGCGTCTACCATGGCTTACCCTTGCCCACCAAGTGTGCCATCCACATTCATTATTGCCAAATTGCCAATAAGCGCCTCAGCCTAATTTCAGTTCAGTTCAGCTCAGCTCCTCGGGCCGATTCACATTTACTTGTTTTTAGTACAGTTCAATTCAATTCAGTTCAACTTCTAATTTCCCTCTCTCATAAATATTCATTTCAGCTTAGTTCAGTTCAGTTCAGCTTCAATCAGTTCAGTTTAGCTCCAATCAGTTCAGTTCAGTAAATGTGAACAGGCCCCTAAATTCCTTCTCTCATAAAATTTTCATTTTAGCTTTATTTAGTTCAGTTCATCTCAATTCAGTAAACGTGAACATGCCCTTTAACTTTGGTTTTTGTTTTATATTGTTCATATATGTCATGCCAAGACTTAATTAATTTTAAGATTTTATATATATTAGAGATTGTTCCCTCTTTCACTCAAAGTTCTACTGATTTCATGTATTACTATAACTTGCCACTTTAGTTCTCTTTGTTATTCAATAGATTAAAGGGCTAGTTTGCATGCACATCTTGATTGACACTTTAATATCTTATTGTTATTTCTTCTTACACTTTTGATCTTCTTTTTCCTTTAATCTGGCCTAGGTATGAGAAAAGGGGTGTCAATGAAAAGGGTCAAGCTGCAAATGATGTCGAGATTGAGCAGATAGTTTGTCCAAGTATTAAAGGCAAAAGCCCCACTGAAATCACTTCAATTGTGCAAAATCGCGCTTCCATACCTCTTTGTTGGTCACAAAAGTCGTCATTGTTTACTCTAAAGCCTGATATCCTACGTAAGTTTAATTGTTATACTACATCCGTAACATATTAGTTGTAACTTTGGTTATTATTTGTGAGACATAATTTATTCCAAAGTTACAATTAATATGTAACATAGGTAGTATATAGTTTAACTTTTGGCTCGTAATATTCACTAGTTTGACCAAAACGTCTTTGTATATGTAGTTTCAGAAGGCAACCACTGCTATGATGCAACACAACTTCATTTCCACAATATGCGCATAAGATATGGAGTGCCAATTATTATTCTGAATCTTATTAAGGTGCTTTAAGTATGACTCATATATAGACATCATGTATTTCTTGTTGCATGAGAATATATTGTACTTCTGATGGCTCTTGTATTGCAGTCATCCAAAGAAACCCACCGCGAATATCTTTTGCATAAGAAATTCGAGGAAGCAGTGGATTTCGTTAATAAGAAGTTGGATGTTGAGAATCGAGTGCAGTTTGTAAGCCTAGACCTTGATGCAGCCTTCCGAGAGTAATATTGCTTCCTTCTCTTAAATGTTTTATTTGTAAGATGGTATAAAGTTACATTGATCTAATGAAAACCTTCACTTTATTTTGCAGTGAGAAAACCGATGAACTGAAAGAACTTCAAGGTTTTGCTGAAAATGCACTAAGTAAAACTGGAATCTTTTCTTGTTCTTGTCAAATGGCTCAATCTGTAAACTATGAATCTTCACTTGACTCATCACATATCGGGTTAGTTCATGTAATCTATTATGTTGTATCCCTTGGTAAAATTGATGAAATGTTGTGATGAATACTTGTGTAACCTATAAATACACTACTTTTGCGTATATGATATATTTTCCGATATCTCACGTCTCTATCCTTAACATACTTTTTCTGCAATATAAGTCTTGCTTTATACATTAAATACCAAGCCAAGAATCTTGACCTCTTTAATTTAAAACTTTTTTCATCCCCCACTTTAAAAATCAAAATTAACTTTTGAAACCAACTATAACTATATCGAGAAATACTTGTGTGGCCGGGGTTACTGGATTTACTCGAGTTACTCCTGACTGGGTAACAAACCCCTGACCAAGTAACTCGAGTAACCCCTGACCGAACCCCTTAAGTAACCTCTGACCGAACCCCTCTAGTAACCCTTAACCAAGTAACTTGAGTAACTCCGGCCACATGGTGTGCCCAGCCATATATAAAAATTTGTCCTTTCATTTTTCATGTTTGATAGATGTGTCTTGTTTGTTTGCGTGTATTAACTGAGTTAATTACACCATTTGTGATGTAGGATCAGCTCAAGTGATAACAACAACATATGTAACCAGAAGGGGATCATAAGAGTAAATTGCCTCGATTCTTTAGATCGCACTAATTTTGCTCAATATGTGTATGGTTTGGTTTCGCTTGGTCATCAGTTGCATACTTTAGGAATAATTGAATCCCAAGATCAGCTCAACATTGAAGACCCTTTAGCATGTGACTTGATGAACCTTTATCAGGCCATTGGAGATGCCCTTTCCCGGCAATATGGTGGGTCTCCAGCGCACCATAAGGTATATATGCTTGGAATCACATAATTCCTCATTTGTATCTCTTTCTTATGTTCTTTTTCAGTAACATGTCAATTTAATATTTATGTTATATGATAGATATTCTCCAAGATCAGGGGTCAATACAAAATGGCTTCGCAATTTCAAGAGTTCATGAAAAGCATTCAGCGTCATTGCAGTAATTCTTTCACAGATGGTGCTAAGCAACAGGCTATTGATTTGTAAGTAATTTTTGGATATTCCTGCAGACTAGCTTGATCATATGCTATAAGTTAGCAGAAGAAAAACTTATGCGCGTTGTTGTTTGCACAGATTCTTGGGACATTATAAACCTGAATTTGAAGGTGGTGAATTGATTCCCTGCGAAACAGATTCAGATCAGATTGACAAGTGTGGATGGATGAATTACACCTACTTGCATAACATATCCAGGTTAAGTGTTGTAGTTTTTGTTTATTTGATATGTTAAACATGTATCGTATAAACTTTTTCTTTGTATGTTTACTTCGGAAAGATATTGCCTTTCATGAAGTATACTGATGCATAGCAATAAAAAAACTGGTAATCATAGTTTGTTAAAGCAAAAGACTGAATAGCAATTTGCCAAGTTGTTAAGGAGTGTATAAGTATGTCCTGCTGGTCAAGAAATTTGTGGTTTGAAAGCAATGTGGTTGATAGATGTTTTTGATTTAGTTGCAAGCAATCAGGGAAACTGATGTCCATTGTGATCTGCAGGTGTAATCCATGCATCTATTCCGACTTTGACAGGCTATTATTTGAAAGCGATGCTGATGAAGCTGGTCATCAGTGCTTGACAGGACCACCTGGAAGTCCTCAGCATGATTCGCAAGAAGGGTATGTTTGACATAAATTCATGATAAAAAAAAAAATTAATAATAAGGATTTGAACCTGCTGCTAAGGACATTATTCATATCATATTTGCAGGTTTCTTTTGGTCGAGTTTCCTACTGGATCGTAATGTGTCTAGTCTGAATCAAGAACCAGCGCTTTTTGACCTTTTAACCATTGAGGCCCTTTAAATTTTGTGAAAGCTCGGCAGAACGCAAATTCTTGTCATTGCCCTGGTAGAAAGAGAGGAAAGCTCGGCAGAACGCAATGATCTTGTCATTGCCCTGGTAGAAAGAGATGATCTATCTTCCTTTGAAGGAAGCAATTGTTTGGTGAAGTGTGGAGTGATATTCATCTTATGCAGGCGTCTTTGTACCCTGGTTCCGCATACACAGTTTGTAGTTCCAAATACAGAGAATTGAAGGTATAATAGATATACAGAATTGAAGGTATAATAGAAAGACAGAATAGAAACATCTCAGGTTTTATGTACTCAGTATTATACATTTCATATCAAATACTCAAGTCACATACTTGATTTTTCAAAACACAAAAGATCTAAAGTCCAACTCTTGGGCATATACCCATTAGCCATTACTAACACAATTGTTCAGGTCTGGCATCTGAATTAATCAGAAACCCAGATGCTAAGATGGCTTGCTTCACATTTCATACCCAAACAAACACTGATCAGTAGAGGCACATTTCAGGTTTCACATCCTGGAACAATAAATAATCGCATTACATCGTCGTTACTTTGGGCTTCATCTACTGCCCTGCCCTGCCCTGCCCCTAAGGTTTATCGTACCAACACATGGATTGCTCCTCCCCATGGGATGAATAAATGATCGCAAAGTCATCATTATCCCAGAGAAGGGTTGAATCTTATTACAGAAAGATGCTATGGAGTACGAACATCTTGAAAGAGCCAGTTATATCCAGAAATTAAGTTACAAGACAAGAGGAACACAGATTCTACATATTTTGAACTTTAAAAAAATAGAATTAGAATATTGTTTTTGCCATGTCCGCAATTCTGCATACATTGACCTTTCTTCCTTGAATAAATTTTACTGTCATACAGTAGATCAGTAGATGTGTAGTCTAATGATCACTTCTCGATGTTTTATTATTTAATTTAAAGCCCATCAAAAAATACAAAGTACCCTAACGTTTTTTCAGTACTTCCGAATTTGCCACAGCATACTAAAGTTTGCTTCTATGTAGCTATAATAATGACATCCAAACTGCACTCCTATTCCATAATATAATACCTAATTCTATGTTCTCAGTCAAACCATCAGAACGACTAAAAATTTCACCAAATATAAACACACAGCCAAGTGAGACATCAATAGGTTGATCGTGTAGTTCTCACATAAATTTTGTTAATGCAGAACCTAAGATATGGAAAAGTATACCCCATCTTGTATAACATGGAAACAAAAAGACACTATATTTTAAAACAGAGGTATAGTAGAAATATTTGATGCCAAGTTTATCGTAGAGCGATACAAACTAATGGTGAATTTTGGGGCAACCTGCAATAGCCAGACACCAGTATTCAACTGTGCAAAGTCTTAAATAGTAATAAGCACCATTTTTAATTGAAAAGGAAGCATCAATCAGATTACACATGCCAAGAGATAACGAAGAAATTTGATCAATCACAAAAACCAGATAGAGCACAATCTAAATCAGTTTGAGACTTAGACATGGAAAGAATAGAATTACTATGCAAAAGAGCAAATTACTATGCAATAACAAGACATGGAACAAAGCTGAACATTGGAACAATAATATAAGGCAAAGCACTATCTGTTGAAAATTATAGATCCCGTTAATTGGTTGAAAAAAAAACAAAAGATAGAGGGTAAAACAAACAGAATTTTGCCCTTCAACTAAGCATCTACATCTAAACTCAACTGAAAACTAGAGCTCCATTGTCTGGCTTTCCATACAGTTTCTGCAACAAAAATTTCAAAACCCACACAGGCAAATCTTACTCCCAACCAGTGGCTGGTGGAGCATCTGGGGTAACAATAGGAGCTCCAGGAGGTACGACAGCCTCTTCCCATCCATCACCGGCAGCTGCATAATAAACATAAATTAATCACACCATAGTTGCATAAAATTCCCAAAAAACAAGTAATACATGCAAAAGTACAAGGAACTTAATCAATCAAGATTGTCAATATTTATTTAAGCAATTACATTTAGTCTAATCTCCACACAAGTGTAAATTGAAGTAACTGTATTACCTGGAACTGCAGCAGTCCAATCTGCAACAGGAGCAGCAGGTGCAACTTCGGGAGCAGCACCCCATTCCTGAAGTGATGCCCATTGATCAGAAGGAGCAAGAGCAGTCATTGCACCACCACCGTATTCAATCTGCCCGAAGTCAGCCACAGGAGCAACTTCTTCCTCTTCCTGCTCCTTAGTTTCTTCAGGCTCCCTGAAGAAAAATAGATCAACCTGCACAGAACAGCCAAACAATGATTAACAAATAGGGGCAAGTAAAACCAAGGTAATCTCAAGACTAGATCCATGTTGCTAAAGAAAAGGGGCTTAAGTACCATGACGTCCCATTGCTGTCCTGGGCGGAGGGTTCCACGCATTTGCAATACCATACGAGCCAAGAGCCAGAATAAGCAACCAATGCTGTGCTTGCCTTTGTTGTTGGCAGGGATACCAATGTCCACGTAACGCATGGGAGAATCAGTGTCACAGAAGGCAATAGTGGGGATGTTACCAAGGGCAGCTTCCTTGATAGGCTGTAATACACAGAGTTCAGAGAAAACAAGTTCCCCAACATAATTCGATCAATCCAAACAGATCACAACACAAAAACCAAAACATAAAATCAAACAAAATTGAGAGAATTCCGCAAATTACTTGATGATCAGTCCTGGGGTCAGTAAGGATCAACAGACGGGGCTCGCAGAACGAGGTCTGAAGCTGGTTAGTGAATGTACCGGGAGTATGCCTACCGGCAATGGCGTGAGCTCCGGTGTACTGAGCAAACTTGAGGACAGCCCTCTGACCATATGGTCTAGCAGACTGAACAATGATATCCTGTGGGTTTTCAATTGCAACAATAACCCTAGCAGCCATTTGAAGCTTTTCCCATGTCTTAGCTACGTTGATGATGTGAATTCCTATTCATAACCATTCCACACATTCATATTCTTAGACCTCAGCACCATAATTATGCTAGATTTCCACATTAACAATTATAATTGATGAAAGTTCAATGTAATCGAAATTCCTCTTAATCCCTTTATTAAAATGAAAACCCTAATCCTTAAAAAAAAAAATTCAATCAAACCAATTAACAACATAAACTCAAATAACCCAGAATTGCTAAAAGCGTAAAAATTCCAAATTTTGAATGAACATAGAAACCAATTAATCATTAGAAACTTTGAATTACCAGCGAAGAAAATCCCATTAACAGATCTCCAATTATAATCAATAATTTCCTATCATTTAGATGCATTATATGTAAAATATATCTATTTTCAAAATAATTCAAAATAAATCTAACATTATATACCATCAAACAAAAAACATAAAACCCAGAAATTCAAACAAAATTAAGAGAGAAAAAAGGATAAATTACCATCAGAACGGCGCTTGAAGACGTAACGCTCCATCTGAAAATCACAGTTTTTGGTGCCGAGATGAACATCGGCAGCCAACATCATCTGAATATCAGCTTCTTTCTGGGTTAATAGCTTCGCCACCATTTTCGATGATGCTCGAGAAAAGCTCGAAGCTTCAGTGAAGAAGAGAGAGGAAGAGAGAGATGAGATGAGATGAGAAAATGAGAGTGATTCAGGCGAAGGCGGCCTTTGTTTGTTTATCTTAAAAAGAGGGATGTGGAGTGGTAAACCCTAGGGGTTTTATATCATCACTACTTGACCCATTTTTATTATTCGGGTCATTCCATTTATATCCGGGTCTTTTTTTTTAGGGATGAACAAACAATATTAGAGGCCAACCCAATTTACCTAAAGATTATGAATTTGATAATTTTGCAACGAACTTGATGATTTTTTTAAAAAAAAATTAGCTTGACTTGGCACTAAAGGTGATCGAGTATGGCCTGGCCCGTTAGTCTAGTTCGATCCAATTCAAAACTAGAACGGGGTTGGGCAAGTTTAATAATACAATTTTAGTTAAAAACTCAAACCCGATCTTAAAAATCGTTATGGGATAACTAGCCTGCTATTATTTTCGAGTTGGGCATGAGACATAATGTAAAGGGTCGTCCAATTTTATGATCACCTCTACTCAACACATAAAAAAGTTGATTAATGTGATAGATAAAGTGTGTTGTTTTGGGGTTGATAGGTTCTTTGTGTTTAATTGCCACAAGCCTAAACCAACAGCATAGCACGGACATGTAAATGACATGGCCTACACTTCCAAAGTTCACGTAGTTATCATGTGAACTATCAACAACAACGAGAATCATTGAATGTAACTATAGGTTAAATTGTTAATGTAGCATGATATACACCAATGGATGGTAGTTGTTTGATTTAGTGAGAGAAGTTGTGCAAAATAGCCTGTATGAATAAAATGTATGATTCTTAATAAAATCTATGATTCTTAATATAGGAAATGATTAAATAGTGATTACAACAATATAGACCATGTAAATAATTTCACTTTGTGAGTCAAATTTTTAAATTTAAAACATAAATATGCTAAACCATGTATAAAATATTTAAAAAATTATGTGATAATGAAATAGTCATTTTGAATTATGTGTTAAATAGTACGGATCATATTGTTCTAGTTGTTGTTTAATTTTTTTTTAAAAAAGAGTATTTTGTCTATCCAAAAATATAATCATTGTTGCTAAATCATAATTTTAACTAATTTTCTACTTCCAAGAACGAAAATCCCTTTCAATGTCCTCCTTAATAATAAGAATATTAATAATAATAATAATAAAATAATTAGTTTTATTGTACGATCTAAGAGAACAACAAGCAATGTTTAAGAATGAATTACAGATGGTAACATTTTCTAAAGCTATTAGTACATGTAATAACCAAAACTTTTTTTTAATGGCTAAGTTAAATAACAAGCTGGGTTATTGTATACCTAGTATATTATTGGTTAATTATTCACCTCCATTAAATTCCGATCCCTAACACATATGTACATAATTTTACTTTTTTACCATCAAGCCATTGAAAAATAAAATGTACAAAGTATTTTTTTTGTTGGTAAACCCTAATTTCTAATTTTCTTCAAAAAACTTCCTTTGACAATTATACCCTTTTCTAATTTTCATAATTTCACCCGTTCTTCCTTCAAACCTCAAACTACTACAGCAAACGCTGCTCTCCTCACACTCACCCCAGGAAGTTGCTCAGCCGCGCACCGTACCCTCCGGCATCCGTCAGTTCGTCCGACCGTCCAGTCATCCACCTTTCAAATTCTGGTAACTCATTTCTCATGTATAAATTAGTTCTCATCCATGAGTTTCTGGGTTAATTTGTGCTTAAATTAATTGTTTTTGTTATTTAATTCATCAAATTAGTGTTGGTGTTGTTTGAAATTGATGATTTGTTATATATTTTACACAATTAGGGTTTCAAATTCATGGGAAGTTGTATAGTTCGGCATTTCTGATTTTTAGTTAGAAGTTGATATTACATTGGGCATTGTTATTGTTTATGGAGGTTGGTTTCCGAAGTTTTGTTGTAGGAACTGATAATTTATCTCCCCTACTGCTATGAGTAGTATTTTAAGGGATGTTCTTTGTTTAGCCAAGTCTTGTCGGAGTATGTATTTTACTTTTGTCAAAAGGAGGGGCAACCATGTTGCCCATTGCTTAGCTGATTTGAGTCGTAGTTTCGAGGGGTTTCGGGTTTGGCTTGATGAGTATCCACAACAAGTGCATGCTGCAGTTTGTAATGATTTGGTTTCTTTGCTTGATTAATAAAGTTTAGCTTTGATTTGTGTCTAAGTGAAAGTTTATGTTTGTATGATTAACTTGGGTATTTTTGAATTTTGACTATATTGGATTGTTTAATATAATTGAAATTGCGACTTAATTTTCATAATGAAAAAAGAAAAAACGTGTGATATAACAAAGTCCCAAAATGCATCCTCCTCCTCAACAAAATACTCCTCCTCTATCACAAAATCATCCTTATGCGGTCGATGGGTGACGATTGATAGGTGACGGTGACACATCACCCATAAATTCCTAGATCCGTCATTGGATGCTTTCTGTAATTTCTTCTTTGAAAACATTAAAAAAATCAAATTCATTAATCCCCAATAGTATTGTATAATGCAGTTTGTTTGTGCATTGATTTCTCTGTTGTGCTAAACTGTCAGTTTTGAACTTTGTTGCAATAATTGTTAAACAAATATTTGGAACTTGACATTGAAATTATATCTTAGTTTGGGATTTTTGTATTTGCTGGGAAAATATGTTAATTTGGTTTGGACATGATTGTTCTGTACTTATTGATAATTCATCACTTAAATTTTATGCAAGGGAGTGATGTTAGAGGTAGGAAGATGAAGAATTGGGTTTTAATTTGAATGAGTTTAGCTTAAATATTGTAATTTTGCAGCTGTTTGATGTTTTTCTGGTTGAAATTTGCTTTGCTCTTAAAGTGTTTGTTAAAATGTTGAATTAAACATTTTAATGGTGTTTTTTTTTTTTAATTTTTTTTTTTAATTTTTTGTAGTTTCTTTTCAATTTGTAATTGCACAGTTGCACTTGTAATCCTAAAACTTTATTCTTTTTCATCTATTGTAGGTGTGCTTATGGGGAATCCAAAGACCAAGATGAACTCCCAAGGTAAACCAGAGGATGTAGGAAGCATCCAATCAGATGTTGCATCATTTGCGTCTTCTCTCGGTCTTGCATCTTCTCTGCCCTCGTCTGGCTTCAATGATTCTGATTTCAGACCCAAGAAAAAGAAACCCGAAGAACCAAAGAGTTCGTCTAAAACTAAAAGCCATATGTCCCAAAAGCCCCCAAACAAGAATCCAAGTACACAAAAACCCCAAAATCAAAAGCACCAAAACAAGAATCTCAATGCCCAAAAACCTAAATTCAATAATGACCCGAAAAGTGGGAAATTTAACAAGAATGACAATGTTTCCGCTGCTAACAATAATATTAGTAATAATTATCAGAAATCTTTTGACAAGTTTAGGAATCTCCCAAAACTTCTGTTGGTGAAAGCGAGTGCATTGGAGACATGGCATGTAGACCAAGGGGAACTGGAGGAGAAGGTGATGGCTGGTGCAGAGAAAAAGAGGGTGGAAATGGGAAATGCTGAGGAGTGGAAGAGTCTGGTGGCAAATAAGAAGGAACTTGGAGAGAGGTTATTGGCACAATATACTTTGGATTATGAGGCTTCTAGGGGTCAAAACGGGGATATAAAAATGCTTATTGCCACACAAAGGTCTGGAACTGCTACTGATAAGGTTTCGGCTTATTCAGTTTTAATCGGTGATAACCCAATTGCCAATATGCGAGCACTTGATGCACTTCTAGGTAATTTTTTTGTTCACTACATGCTTCCTTTATATACTGTATTATTTTCTGCTTTTAACTTTTTGCTCAGTAGTCATATTTGGATTTTTGGTAGTTTGGTGTAGTCCATTGAGTCGCATGATGCTGTCTTGCTCTATTTTTTATACGTAAAAACTACATTTTAAAGGAGAATAATGTTCTAATGCATTGTTGCTTCAATTTTAACTGGTTCATATATACTGGTGTTTTTCTCCGTTGCAGCAATGGTGACATCGAAAGTTGGGAAGCGTCATGCACTTTCTGGCTTTGAAGCTCTTAAAGAGCTGTTTATACAAAGGTCTAAGTCTGTTCTTTGGTGTCCTGAATCTTCTTTAATTTCCAAATATGTCATACTTGATGGAGCTGCTCAACTAGAATGTGTTTGTTCATTGATTTTACATATAATCATGTTTTTGAAGTATTTCACAACCTTCAACCGTTCAGCTTTATCAAAATCTTGAAGACCTGATCTGGACCCTTCTAAACTTTTTAGCCCTACTTTGTGGTATGCGAACTTATTAAGAATGGCCCTTAGCTGAACTATTATGAACTTATCAGCTCTTATTCTAAATTTAATAGACCTGGAACTAGGGATGGCAACGGGTCGGACTCGGAGCGGATTATGCTAAATCTGACTCCGACCCGACAGGAAGTCGGAGGTTAAATCCGACATCCGACTCCGACATCCGACTCCGACTCCGACTTCAATATCCGACTCCGACTTCGATCCGACCCGACTCCGAGTTTTTTTTTTCATTATTCAATATACTTTGAGATGTTGGGCTATTTGGGCCTTTACAACCCACACCCAATGACCCAATGCCACCATGACCCACACAAAAATCCACTATCTATTGGAGTCGAAGTCGGATAATCCGTTAAAGTCGGACATTTGTCAGAGTCGGATTTTTTTCTCGGATTTTTTGTAGGATCCGACTCCGACCCTCCTCCGACTCGGAGTCGGATTATTTTAACGGAGTCGAACTCGGATTACTTTTTTCTCGGACTCGGAATGGATATTTTAACTCGGATCGGGGCGGAGTAGGGTCGGATCCGGACTAGATTGCCATCCCTACCCGGAACCTTATATTTTATGGCAAGATAAACAGGGCCTTAGAATAATGTTATGAGGAATCAATGAAAAATTACATTCTATCTCATGGCTTGACCATAGAAATTAAATCACTTGAATGTTGCTTTTGTAATAACTCAAATTAAGTTACTGTTAAATTGTTGTGATTTGTTACACAAAGTGTAACTGTTCACTCTTTCTTTCCTTTCTAGAGGCTGTACTTATTTGACAGAGGGGGTCCCAGACGATTGACTTCTGAGCTTAGTAGAGAAGAGTTGGGATACCCTCTGGCAGGCTTTTATCCACAACCTGTTTCTTGGTTCTTTCTTTGATACTTGTATATTATCGCATTGGGCTCAATGTCACTTTCCCTTGACACATGCTTATAGATTGTTGTTTTTAATATGGGTATGGAATTGCCTTCATCTATGTCTAGCTTCTGAAATCATTTTAAGTCTTATATGCTCAACGTAGTTGAATACTCTTTATGTTGCAGTCTGTTGCCTGATCGTAAGTTGAAGACCCTTATACAGAGGCCCCTCAGCCATATTCCTGAAACAAAAGATGGTTATTCTCTTCTGCTGTTCTGGTATTGGGAGGAATGCTTGAAGTCAAGGTATCTTGTCTATTGCTTAGTTATGATTGGTTTAGAGAAAATTTTAGATGATATATGTTTAGTTTTAGTAAGCAAGAAAATTGGAACATGGTATACCTCAGTGATTTAACTGCTCTTCCATGGCCTAAACCTCAAACTGGAACAACTTGGCTTGAGCTTTAGCTCCTCTTATGACTTGTATAGTTGTATTGTCATACATAGTCAATTCTACTCAACATATGCTCCTACTATAATGAGTATGCAGCTGTAAAAATATGTTGTTTACAATATTGAATTGGTATATCTAGAAGTTGCTTATAACTTCTTCAGCTCACTATATTTCATTTTTTTATTTTAGTTTCCTTGAATGTTAATTTCTAATTACTCACAATTGACTTCTTTTTTTTATTTTGTGCGAGGGGAGAAGGGACGGGAGGGATCCTCATTTTATTAGAATATATAATTACCGAGCTAAATTGAAAGATAATACATGATTAAATACATATAACTATATAAGTTCTTATCATCAATCAAAACAGTTTTAGGAAAATTACCAATATGTTTTAGGACATTAATTTATTATAATGATTATCAGCGATAAACATGTTATTGAATTGACTTATTCTAGTTGAATAAAGGACAGTCATCATTAGGGCATGAATAACTACCACAATTTATAATTTAGCCATGGACTTATGAATCCATTATGTTATCCCCCCTCATCTTATGTTACCACTCTTACTTTCATTGGTTTGTCATGCTAGGTATGAACGTTTTGTTGTTGCTCTTGAGGAGGCATCAAAAGACATGTTGCGTGTACTTAAAGACAAGGCATTGAAGGTCAGGGTTTTTAGTTGTTACTGATTTTTCTTAAATTTATGTATCCGCGTTCTTTTATCTTCTATCACCTTTATTCCATTGGGACGCTTTACTATCAGATAATTGTTATCCAGATGTGTAGTATTTATGCTCTATAATTTATTTGTTTTCTCTTATTTCATGTAGATAATGTATGCCCTGTTGCGGAGTAAATCAGAGCAAGAACGGAGGTTACTAACTGCTTTAGTCAATAAAGTAAGTCTGCAATGATTTCTGATGAACCAAACTTCATTTCTCATAGTCACTCTATACTCATGTTGAGCTTAGAAGAACTATTATATATTTGTTTGACATCTTTTTCATTGATTTGATGATTTACAGCTAGGGGATCCTGACAGCAAGGCTGCGTCAAATGCTGATTATTACTTGACTAACCTCCTGTCTGATCATCCAAACATGAAGGTAAAGCTGTTTATAGTTTTTTTCTTACATGACTGGGCCTTGCTTCCCTTTTTCAATGATAATTGTATTTGCTTTTGGAACAAGTATTGAGAACAAGCTTATGTTTGTTGTTCAAATTAAACAAACATACTAGAAAATAGCTGGTAAGAACTTATTATACGTAGTATATATTTTAAATAAAGAGGAAAAAACAAAAGGCCGGGAAAAGGATCATAGTCAAAGAAGAGTTATCTGGAATAGGAAGTTGCTTATCTATTCTCAAATGCTGAAGCCTGAACACCTAATGTGTACTTAGTACTTTAGTAGCTGTTCAGATAAAAACATTTCATGTAGTTTCTACTATTTTGCAATGCCTCTTCGTATTTGCAGCAGTAAGACTAAGGCCTCACAGATGTAACAGCCATACGTATGTAATAAGACCCTTTCCCCACAGATTTCAGGCAGGACAACTAAGGCATAGGTTGGGGTACTATGGACTATGGTTGATGTTAAAATAGAATCCCAGTAAACCAACAATTTTGAAAACTGCCAACCTGAAGTGTAGAGATATTGTATTTTATATTCATATTTTATGATTCTAGTACCATTAGCATGAGTAAATGTCTTAAACTCATGTTCTCTAAACTGCATTTAGATTAGAGAAGTTGTATTAGAAGATAGTTGTGAAAGTTGTGGCTTTAAAACATGTGTGGCCAATGGATGTTAACTTGAGTAAGCCTTGGTTCATCACTGAAAAAACAGTGAGCCAATGTGGGTGTTTAATTTAGTATCATGTGTTTCTTATTTGGCTGGAAAATCTCAGTTATTAAACGAGGACAGGTTTCTGCAGATCTAATTGGTTAGCCTAATACTCTACTGGTGACAATATTATTTTTAACTGTTTCATGGTGTTGAGATGTCTGACAAGAATCTACATACTAGCTATTATCTACTTGTCTAGAAGTTCTACACTTCTTGAGACTTTTCTCTTGCATGTTTATGTATTGTTTAGGTCCATAAGATACTTAGTATTTAACTGAAATAGTTGTTAATGTGTTTGTAATTTACTTAATTGCTCATGCTATCTTACAATTGACTTGTGAATTTGCGTCTTTTCTTTGCCTCACTAGATGCCTGAAAACTTATTTTCTCCTTGCAATTTCAGGCTGTGGTGATTGATGAAGTGGACTCATTTTTATTCCGGCCACACTTGGGGTTGCGTACCAAGTATCGTGCGGTATGTCTTCCACCTACTTGTTTGACTAAGTTTACCTGAAATCTATACCTCTAGTTTGTTTGTTTGTTTTTTTTTACCATGATATCATAGAACGTGAGTAGTCTGGTTTCTAATTTGTTATTTGAAGCTCTAAATAGTGAGACTTTGGACTTACTAGATGTTATCATGTTAATACTGTAAAAATATAAATTGAGCTCTAAGTCTCTTCAGAATTGGTTGTACTATTTTTCCCTTGAAAATTGGTTGTACTATTTTTTCATTATGGGTGGTTACCTTTATCAGTGCAAGTTATATTCAGCTAGGGAAGATATGGCAGAAGTGGGAAATTATTTCTAATCCTTGTCTTTCCTTGTTTACAGGTTACTTTTCTGAGTAAAACCCGCCTAAGTCACAAGGGGGATGGGCCTAAGGTAGCAAAACGTTTGGTAGATGTGTACTTTGCACTATTTAAGGTAAACATTTGCTAACTATGTAATGTTTTTCCCCTTTTGCTATAGCAGTCTAGTTCCAATCTGCATGATTGCACTTCTAAATATTAATTTTCTTGTAGTTCTTACTTAACCCCCCCCCCCAAACAAAAACAAAAAAATAAAAAAATCATGCTTTTATATTTATTAAATTGCGGATCTGGACTTTGAATTTCAGATACTGATCTCCGGGGCAGCAAATGGTCAAAAGAATGATGAAAGTAAAGAGAAAAAAAAATCAACTAATGAGGACAATGATTCTCACGTGGAATTGGATTCACGGCTTTTATCTGTTCTTTTGACAGTAAGTATTTGAAAGAAGTGCCAGTGGTTGGCTACACAAATAACACAATGTTACTTGTATAGTTATATGTTTAAGCATTTTTATTATTGGTCTGCTTTCACTTTTTTTTTCCCCGGTATTTTGAGGGTCTATCTTATTCTTGAATCTTTGAGTTAATATTTCACTTGCAAGTCAGGAAACTATTGCTCATTAAACTGACTTCAATATTTTTATCATGTTTTTTTGGTGAATATAAAATGCTGCTGGCTTACCGCTTTGGTTGTTCCCATGGTTGTCAAACTGTGAAATTGATTGTTTCAGTGTTGATGCTTGAATGATGAGCATTTTCTGAGTAACTAATTGCATATCTCAAGGACTTTTAGGAGGCTAAATATAAGAGACTTGGAGCTCTTAATTGGGGGCTGGCATTGATGTTCAGTTTATCTCTGTTTTGTGGAAATTGTGTCAATAGACCCACAGTTTTACTGTACTCTGTTCAAGATCACAAATGCTTCTGCTTGATTATATCTTGTGCTTCTTTCTGTATCTAATTTTGGGTAGTTTTTGGACTTGCTCACTTGTTCATTAATTTCACACATTTTTTCTGCTCTTCTCAGGGAGTAAATAGGGCATTTCCATTTGTTTCTGGGGATGAAGTAGATGAAATTGTTGATGTCCAGACTCCAATGCTTTTCCGTCTCGTAAGTTCATAAATCCAATTATATGATATTTAAAAAATATCATTATCAATTTATCATCTTGTATTTATCTTTTCATGATAGAAACATTTATAATTATGGTAAGACTTTTCGCAATTTGAAATATTTGTGTCAAGATTTAAAATGTCACTACTTTGCAGGTTCATTCAGAAAACTTTAATGTCAGTATCCAAGCATTAATGCTTCTGGATAAACTTTCTTCCAAGAATCAAGTTGTCAGTGATCGTTTTTATCGTGCTCTGTATGCAAAATTGTTACTTCCTGCTGCTCTTAATACCTCCAAGGTAGGTGGTCTCATACTTTTTCTTCAACTTTAATGCAAAACTGCTTTTATACACCTGGATGCAACCTAGAAGGATTGCCATTTTCTTTCATACATGCCTCTGCAGCCTCGCTCTCTATTTAATTAACTTCTTGTGATCTGCTGTTCGAATGATGAGTAGAGACTACAGACAATTAACATCCGACTTTGAAAATCATCACCGGGCAAACAATATTTGCAAAAGTTAGGCAAAGTTCATTGGTCTGTAAATCAAGCAGAGTTTCCCTGTGATATCCAGGTCTTCTCTTATTTTGGTTAACTTTTGAACTGGTAGCCTTGGTCTTTAGCTTGTCTTCTGAGTAGCCATGAGCTTCAGTTAGACATGATCTCACTCATTTATGTAAGATGCCTTAGGTAGGCCATTTTGTTGAGAAAGGGAAATTTGCTTAGAATGGACTGTGGTGGGATACAATTGCTAATTCAGTCTGGTTGCAGAGAATTTTACCCCTTTTTTAAGGTCTCAGTGAATTAATTTGGGGCTTAAGGGGAGGTGGAGATGAAAAGTTGTTAAGAAAGACCTAGAGCTTTGCAGTGGCAAGGCTAATTGTATAAATTATGGTTTAAATTTTGTCATGGGCCCTTCAAAAGAATCTATGAAACTCATCAAGTTGTTTCAGTAAATTAAAGCTCTCAGTTTTCAGTGGAATCCTTGCTGTCTTGCTGGCAAACATTTGAGTTTCTGAAATCTTAAGTGCTTTCAAACACATCACATAAGCCAAACCCAAGCTGGAAAATATGAACTATATCCTTAGAAACTTTATAAGAACTTACATCCAATTGTAGTCGAGGACATGCTAAGGAAAAAATTTGCCTCGTATGTAATACTGCATAAACTTTTTTTTTTTTTTAATAAAAAAATAAAAATAAAATCGTGGAGCTATGATTGTATTGGGTTAGGTTCAATTGGAAACAATCTAGCATACATAATAGATGTGAGCTTTGGTAGGCATTGGGGAGACGCTGACAAACTCTAAAAAAATAAATATTTAAGTAGTAGTGAAAATGGAACCATGAGAATGGAAGAATGCAGCAGGTGATGATTCAATTGATTGTGAAAATCATTTTAAAGCCTTTTCAGTTTTTCAAAACCAACAATGCCTTTGAATCTGCGCTCGCCTAGGAAGGGTTTTGCAAAGTTGGATGCATGAAATCTTATCCCTAAAAAGCTAAAATAGCAAAGAGATTTCTTCAAGACCATTGATCCAAAGGCCACTGTGTGCTACTTTATGATGCTCATATGTAAGTAGTGCACAATTTAATGATACGACGAATTTCTTTATTGCCAATGAAGATGGATAACTTTGTCTATGCATGTGCTTGCCAAATAGTGATGCCATAATGATTTGAGTTACGATACATTTAGCAATGCATAGAGGTCTTGTTCCTCATAGTGCTCTATTGTTTGTGATTTTGAGATGAAGCCTTATATCTTATTTCGTTGTATCATCTCACAAGCATACTTATTGGATACCCTCAGATTGTAGAATACTTCATAATTTCATATAGTATTTATGTTATTCAAAGTGACTTTCTGGTTTTAATGTGTATTACAGGCAGAAATGTTCATAGGACTACTACTAAGAGCTATGAAAAGCGATGTAAATTTAAAGCGTGTAGCTGCATTTTCAAAGCGTCTATTACAGGTTAGCTGTTAGTTTCTCTGATTGTTTAATCTTTTTATGTCTCCTGTGAAGCTCCCTTTACATTGAAACCTGAGTTCCTCCCACTCTGTTTCTGCTCAAAACCACGTTCATATGGAGTTTCTCCAACTCTCTTTCTCTTACTTTATCATCCTATGTCTGTTTGACCCGTGCAATGAATTTCTGAGTTGTGAGAGTTGCCTTGCACTTAATGCTTTTACTTCTCTGCTCAATAAGCAAAGGTTGACTCTTTTACTCCTCCTGCAGGTTTCACTTCAACAGCCACCTCAGTATGCTTGCGGGTGCCTGTTTCTTCTCTCAGAAGTCCTCAAATCAAGGCCACCTCTCTGGTAAGGATCAGATTTTGTGTCCTTATCCTGTTTTGTTTGTAGAATTTTGCATTTTTTAAGATCTAATTGAGATACTTGTGATGCAATCTGATGCAGGAATATGGCAATTCAAAACGAGGCAGTAGATGAAGATCTTGAACATTTTGAAGATGCTCCTGATGATACCGAAAATATACCTGGTACTGAAGCTAATTTGCCAAGCAGTAATGGTGGTGATGAACAGGGAAAGTCTGCCGAAAATGACATTGAAATGGACTCAGACAACGATTCCTCTGAAGACGAGGAAGTTTCTTTAGCATATTCTTCCGAAGATGTGTCAGATGAAGATTTACTCATGAAAAAGAATGTTGGTAGACCCCAGGAATCTAGCTCTAGCAAGTTGTCTGAGAACAATGGAAACCAGCTTGAGTCCTTGACCAAGCAATTACTTCCTGGTGGATACGATCCTCGACGTCGAGAGCCCTCATTTTGGTATGTGTTTTGCAAATAATCTAATGCTTTTCTTACAGTTGCAATTATTGCTGGTATATTCAATAACAATCTTTGTGATTGCTAGCAATGAGCTAGTGAGTATTTCCAGTGTAGTTGAAAATGACGAGTACTTGTTACTTTGTTATGATGCTTTTTTCTCTCTTTTTTTTTTTATATATATATATTTTTTTTATTATTGATCGATTGTCTTTCAATTCCATTCCTCCCACTATAATGCTTATGTAAACTTTTCTACAGCAATGCTGGCCATACTAGCTGGTGGGAGCTGACTGTACTGTCTTCTCACACTCACCCATCAGTTTCAACCATGGCGAGGACTCTTCTATCTGGAGCAACCATCGTCTACAATGGAAACCCATTGAATGATCTTTCTTTGACTGCTTTTCTGGACAAGTTCATGGAAAAGAAGCCTAAGCAAAGCACATGGCATGGTGGTTCTCAAATTGAACCTGCTAAGAAGGTCAGTGTTTTAAGTTGCACCTAAAACCTACTTATCTTATTCTTGATTTGGTAGAGAGCTTGTTAGTTTTTTCATCACTTTATGCTTTTTCAGTTTAGCTACTTCATACTTTTCAGTGAGTTTTAGTTTGCAATAATTCTTATAAAAGTTTGAGGTTTGGATGAAGTAATGGTGAATTAATTGGTCTTCATTACTGATTATCGTGCAGCTCGACATGAACAAGCATGTAATTGGGCCTGAAATCCTTGCATTGGCTGAAGCTGATGTACCCCCAGAGGACGTAGTATTTCACAAGTTCTATGCAAACAAGATGACTGCTTCAACAAAACCGAAGAAGAAGAAGCAGAAGAAGGGGGCTGAAGAAGAGCAAGCAGCAGATTTATATGGTGGTGACGATAGTGACAATGACGAGATTGATAACTTATTGGATTCCAATGATCCTCCCTTGGAAGAAGATGGAGATTATGATTATGATGATTTAGACAGGATTGCCGATGAAGAAGATGATGATTTACTTGGTGATGTTAGTGAAAATGAGATGGACATGGACGATGGTGAAGCTGATGCCCATAGTTTTGACTCAGGTGATAGTGATGGTGTAAATGAAATAAGTGATTTAGACGATTTGAGTGATGATGATATCAAGATTGGTGACATGGACGATGTTAGTGATGATGAAGTTGGTCACGATGCACCCTTATCGAAGAAGGGGAGGAAGAAGTCTTCAGCCTCTCCCTTTGCTAGCCTTGAAGAGTATGAGCACATGCTGGATGATGATGATGATGGTTCAGGGGAGGAAAAATCAGACGAGGAAGGTAAGGTCGAGAAGTCACCAAAGAAAAGAAAACACACTCGGAGTGACAATAACAAGAAAGGTAGGAAAACAGAGAACAGGAAACACAAGAAAAAGAAGAGCAAAACCCATAATTAAGGTGCTAATTTTGTTCTATTTAAAGCAATCTTGTAACTTCATCTTAAAAAGTTTTATAAAATTTAGCATATTAGATTTTTGAATTATTTCCCATGAATATGAAAAATGAAATTTCAATTGAAAACCATCATCTACCAGTAAAATTTTGTAACTTAAAGAGGTGAAATTACTGAAAATTTTGTACTATTAAAGCTCATCAGTTGTTCAAGTATTGTTGTTCAATTATCAAGTAAATTTTAAGTCTCCTCATTTTCTGGATATTTCTTATGCATTTTTTTTTTTGTTCATGATTAATAGTTTAATACTCATTAATACCACTTGTTAGTCGTCGAATTAGTGAAACACACAAGCTCATTGGCACTTGGAAGACATTAGATACTAATCACAATTTGCCTTACATATCCTTGAACCACATAGTTGGTCTAAACACACAGCTACAGTTATTTTGCTACCAGCTCCTAGGAAAGAACTACAAATCTAACACCCCAAACTCATTACATCCTACTCGAATCGAATTCGCCCTGCTCTATGAACATTCTAGGAGATAGCAACTTGAACAGTCTTAGGCTTAGAGGGAGGGATCTTCTTGACAGTGACAGTAAGAACTCCATTTTCGCATTTAGCCGAAATGGTAGAAGCATCAGCATCTTGAGGTAACCGGAACTTCCTCATCATCTTCTGCGGAAGACTTCTTTCGAGCTTGAGATATTTGCAACCTTCCTCTTCTCCATCTTCCCTCTTCCTCTTCCCATTCGCCTTAACCACTAGTATATTCTCATCCTCCAGTTGCACCTACATTACAAACATAACACTTCATAAGAACATACCGCCTCTAAAGTACTTTTCAACACGAATCGAAATTAGCATTGTGGTTCGAGCTCAGGGAGTACCTGAACATCAGACTTGGCGAGGCCGGGGACATCGATGTAGAAAACGTATTCCTTGGGGTTGGAAAGGATATCAGCTAAAGGAGTAGTAGTCCTATCTCCAGGATTCATGTCTCGTTTTGTAAACTGGTTTAATACCTTAGTTAAAAGGTCTTGATCATTCATCAAATTTCCAAAACCTCCCATTTCCTCAATTAGTGCCATAATTTCTGGTTACTCGAAAACACCTGAAAACCTATCAAAAATTAGCTAGCTTTTTCAGAAATTAAATCGTTTGCTTGATTTAGTATTCACATTAGTGATTCAAAATACACTATCAACCTGACAATACATTAATTATTGTGATTTTTCTTGATACAACCTCAAAACAAACAAATTACTAAGTTCGGCCCGTATACACATTACTAGTTCAAATCACACGACCAAAGCAACAATAGCTCACTAGGTACGTACAAACAACAAAATCTACGAGTATTATCTAGCATTATATAAACTGAAAAAAATACTCCGTAACACAACTCAATTTTCAGCAATAACCCACCAAATAAAGTGTAAAGCAGAGTATGAAACTCAGTAAACACTCAAGGAGACAAAAGTCACAAGACAAATTCATCTAAAAATAAAGGCATGATAATTTATTTTCAAGAATCAAAAATAATAAAAGTGAAGAAATGATGAACTAACCTGTACGAGAGTTTAATTGAAATTGATGTGGATTAAGTGAGAATCGCGTCGAAGAGTGAAGTTGAAGTGGAAAAAGGTGGAATTAAATAATTGGAAGAGAGAATTCTGGATAATTTTCCCAACATTTCTGCTCCTTTCTCGAAACATCTGGAACATTGTGGAGCTCAAACGTGTCCCATGGAGTCTCGAGGTTTTGTTTTCCATACTACAGAGTACAACTTTTTTTTTTTTTTTTTTTTTTTTGTGAAGTAAATTTGTACGGAATTTCGTTATTTACTTGTAAAGAAAAATGAATAAGGGACAAATACTCTAGCTAAATACTTGTAGATTAATTATGATGCATTTGAAAAAATTAAGGAATCAATTAGCTAAATCCCGTCCCCAAAAAAAATAATGAAAATATATTTCAATTTGGTGAATAAAATCATCATCATTAAATATTAAAGATATTGATTATTAGCATTGGAAACTATATACACGGAATGATATTTCAAATGAAATTCATATAGAGTTGTACTTGGTAGTCGTTAACAATAATATTCTATCCTACTCCGTATTTAACATAACCATATTTAAGGCACAATAAGTACGAGTATTAGTTCATATAATTAGGGTCTGTTCTCATACGTTGAAATTCAGTTCAGTTTAGTTTAGTTTAGTCCAGTTCATTTCAGCTCAGTTCAGTTCAGTTCAGCTGAGTTCAGTCAATGAGAACAGACCCTTATATTCCGTATTACGGTGTATAATGGTCATTAATGGAGTCACTTTACAAATTCTGACGAGCAATAGTTGGATGCTAAAAAAAATGCGTTTTGTAAAGTCGCGTAGGCAAACTTTCTTAAAACGAGACATTATGAATCATACATGACATTCTTACTTTTACCGGAGTACTAATTATATCTTATCTTTCTATCTGCTTTTAAATCATTAGTAATTATCCTATCTTATTAAATTGAGACATTATGAATCATACATGACATGTTCTAAAACTACATCTAATACTTTCCTACTTACACTTCATGCAATTTTGCAATGTTATTTTCATTACATTAATACACATTGAGCAAAATTAACATAAAAGAGGAACAAGAAGACATAATGAAGGGGGTGATAATTGATAAATTGACCATACGTAGAAGAATTTAAAATAGAAAACAGTAAATTTTGATGAAGAGTGACTTGACTCACTTGAGAGTATCTTATTGGGTGTAGGCAATCCATGTGTAGAGAGATTGTGTCTCCTACCAAATTGAAAACTTTATGCTAATCACTATCAACTTCATTCTATAACACATACCAACTTTATTCTACACCGTGCGGTATGGCTTTACCATTGAGCTTTATGTGTGGACAAAATGTATGTTTAGACTTGGTCCAATAAGTAAGTAGGGTTAGCTTGGGGTCGGATAATTTTGAATTCAGTTTATGTTATTCGTGATATTATTCGAGGTATAAATCAGTCGGCTTTGAGACGGTTGATTCCCAATTTTTTATTTTTTGAAAGATGGATTCTCAATTTTGATTTATATATTCTATCTCTTATATGAGAGCCTATTGAGATGGATAAAATTTGAACTACGATACCATGTTATAGGATTAAATCAACCTAAAACCAAAAGTGATGTAATGCACATTATTGGTTTATATACTCTATCATATATGATCATTACCTTATCACTTTAATTGCAATTGTTTTGAGTCAACACTGGGTCTAAATGGGCCATGTCGAGTTTGACTCAAGATTCAAAGAGTTAAGTTGGGTCACTTGGCATACTTAGTTAGCTGAAGTATACGAAGTAATTAATAATACTATCCTTTAATGAATTATTCAAAACTTATCATTCAAATGCTATTGATGAAAATGAAAACTAATTAAGTAGTACGAGATTCGCAAACAAAGAAATCTTACAATCCTACATAGATGGTCATGAATTAGTAATTCCACATGCAATTTGACTATAAAATCTTTTAGGGTACTAATTCTTTGGACTGGTTTACTAGTGAACACTTTGTGGGCCTTGTGGTCGAAGAACAAAAGACTAAAACCCAACTAAAATCTGACTTTCTTGACCACCACCAAAATGCAACTTGCAAGCTCAATAGTACTTTTTATTTGTTACTCTTACATGATGATAGTAAAACCATTGTTTTAATTTAAGTGAGTTGGAGTCTAATAAGATTTCAACCCATCACGGAAATTTTAATATAGTATTGATGAGTTAGACACTTGACAGTGAGGAAGATGTAAGGGAATTGAATTTCTACCACTTAACCATACTTGTAAGGTCTAAGGTAATAGATTTATGAAAAGCGAATCAGTATACTACACCATTTCATTGTATGTACAAAGCGAATCAACCACCCTCTTCGGCCACTACAAGAAAAAGGGAAATTAGCAACTGATTTTTGCGACTACTATAATAATTAGTCGCAAAAAATATTTTTGTGACTGAAAAAGACGAGTAGTTGCAAATTTTGCAACCGATTTTGCAGTAGTTGCTATGCGGTCACTAATTAGCGACTGATTTTTACGACTACCATAATAATCAGTCGCTAAAAGTATTTTTGCAACTGAAATAGACGAGTAGTCGCAAAAAATTGCAACCGATTTTATAATAGTTGCTATGCAGTCGCTAATTTACGACACTCTTATAATAATTTGCGACTAAATTGTAGTTGTCAGTGTTAATAATTTTGAAATCATTTTTTTTCTAAAAATTGCACTACTATTGCAACTAATACGGTTGTCGCTACTTCTTTTTTTTAATTTATTAAGAAAGAATTAAAGAAAACCCTTAGTATAATAAAGTTGTTGCCGCCAAAAAAAAAAAGAACTATAACTCCTTATTGTAGTGCAGTTTATCTCTATTTCTCTTTACATACTCTTCTCTTTACTCTCTTCATAAAAAAATATCAAATTTATCGCTACTTCCGTGCACAGAATCTCTATTGTAGTGTAGTTTACGTTCTCCACTGATCATCAATTTAAGGTTTGTTTTCTAATTCATAAGCTTAATTTTGCTTTTGATGTATTAGGTTTTTACTCATGCTTGTGATTAGTGAAATCGTGGTGCTAGAATTCCGTTTTGTCGAGATTGGGTTCAATTATGTGTGCTTAATTAAGGCTTATTTGGATCCTTTTCTGAAATTTCAATCGAGCTACTTTAGTTTTTCTTGGTAACGAATAATTGAATCATGTGTGGCTGGTTTTTTGCGCAATTGGACTAACCTTATTTCGTGAAATTTGGTTAATGATTATGCAAATTGTGAGTAAATTTTGCTTAATTGAGGGGCCGAATTGCTTAATTGTTGCTGGTTGTTGACGGTGGTGTTGGTGAGGGGCTGCTGTGGTGATTTTGGTTTGGTTTGGGTGGCTGCTGGTGTTGGTGCGTGGCTAATTAGTTTTAGGAGATGCTGGCGGTTTTGGCGGTGGTTGGTGCTGGTGTGTGTGGTGTTGTTGGTGGTAAGGCTGGAATGCGTGGTGGTTGATGGCTTGATGCGTGAGTGAAGGAGAAGGAGCAGGGGATGTTGATTGGTTTTGGTGGGCTGATGTGGTTGGTAGTTGCAGCAAGGTTTTGGTGGGCTGCTGTGTGCGAGAGGGAGCAGGGGAATTGGTGGGTATTTCATTACTAAATCTGTTGTGTGTGACTGATAAGTGATAAGTCATGCTGACAATCTTTGTATGCAAGGCTATAAATCATACAATTTGTAATTTGTGTTCATGGTCCTTTGCTTTATTTTTCTATGTAATTGTATATGAATCTGACTTAAATTTACTCATAATTAATGGTCCTACACCATAGATTTGAGTGTGAGATTGAAAATGAAATGTCCACCTTTGATTGTAGTGCTTCACATAGTCAAATTATATCATCAGCAAAACAGACGGGACATCAGTTTAAATATGTGTTTCTCAGATAATAATTTATCATATCAAGTGATTTTAGCGTGCCCATGTTACCAAATTCTCCATTGGAGATTTTTTTTTTTTTTTTTTTTGAGAGTGAGAGAGAGAGACCAACAAAAAATGAGGTGTAAGTACGTAGTATAATAGTTATAGAAATATATATATTTCTCATGATTTTTATTTAAAAGAGTAGACCTGTATAGAAACATGTTGAAACTCAAAAATGTAATTAGAAAAGACACTGTCAACTCCTTACTAGCATACCATGTTTTGTTGTATTTTTTTTAGTGCTAACAACTTCTTCTAATACAAGGCAAAGAAAAAGGATGGAATTTTACCAACTGCTGCTGAAGTTTATGAGAGCACTCATTCTGTTTGTGTGGGCAATGATGAAGTTGAATTGATGGGTGACAAGTCTCAAAAAGTCATGGTATGAGTATACTTCTATATTTTGCTAAGATTACAAAAAAAAATGTGGTAGTTAATGTTTGGAGATATTATAGATTGTTTATTTGTTTGTGTGATTGAGTTGGAGGATGAGAATGATTTGCCGGCATTAATCATATGATTAATGTGGTATGGCACAATGTGAATTGAGACAGGTTTATTTTGAAGCCATACCCTATAGGAGGGGATTCTTCAATTTACAAAGGAGACTCTGCCGAAATTTTTACTAATAACTGCTTACATAAATTATTTTGCTATAAGTGTTACCTTTTTTATTTAAAAAAAAAACAATTAAATTATTTGTTACTCTATTAGCTGCTCTAAAGCAATTAAATTAAATTGTGTTTTAGAAGTCCAAACAAGTTTTTATCCCGGACGATGTCCCGAGTCATTGCTTGTATTTTTATTATAGTTGTTTTTTTTTAAATGTATTTAGTTTATTTAAGTTTTAACATTTGAGATCATAGTTACTAATACATATCTTAATGCAGGGAGAATATATGGAAAAACTTGAGGAATGTAAGAACAAAGGAATTGAGATAAATCCCGACAAAGTCTACTTGGAGTTTGTAGGTGGGCAAAAGAAAGGAAAAGTCTACGGTTTAGGGAGTGCTTCACAAATGTATTACAAGAATGATCCTACTTCTCAATCTACTGCTTCATCTTCCACTCCTTCCATGATTTCTCAATTAAGTTCTCAAGTTGAAGAACTAAAGAAGATGGCGGAAGAAAACCATAACAAGGTAGAAGAAAGCCAAAAAATAGCGGCAGAGAGCTTAAAATGTGCTAAGGAATTCGTCGAAAATCATGAGATCGAAAAGGCTACATGGAAGAAGGAAAAATTAACTATGCAAAAAACATTGCAGGAAATGGCATCACTTGTAAAACAAGTTTACCGTCCTTATAAGCCTCCTACGCCTGCAGTCACCCGCTCTCGTGATATAACTAAGTGATTTTTATTTTCTTGGTGGTAATTTTATGAACAACTGGCCTTTTACATTGTCATTAATTCTTGTTTGAAGTAGCTTTTTTTTTATATGGGAGGTGACTTTTGGAACAATTAGTCTTATAAGTTAAATATTGTTTTTTAATACATTGATACAAAATTGATTGATATTTTGGATATTTGAATAAAATTAACATTTTGGTTATTTGAATTTATGCGTGGGTACCTTTTTTGCTTTGTGATTAATATTGGTTGTCGCTTAATTATGGTCTCAAATATTGATAGTTAGTCGCAAATATTTAGCGACTGCAAATTTGGTTTAGAGACTAATTGGTTAGTTGCAAAATCATTAGTCTCAGTAGTCGCTAATCTGTCACAAATAATTAATTTTGTAGTCGCAAAAATTTGGTCTCGTATGTAGTTGCTAATCCGTCGCAAAAAACATTAGTCTCAATAGTCGCAAATCCGTCACAATAAAACTAGTCTCCGTAGTCGCAAAAGTTTAGTCTCGTAGTCGCAAAAATTTGGTCTTGCAGTCGCTAATTCGTCGTAAAAGTAGTCTTAAAATATTGATCTCTGTAGTTGCTAATCCGTCGCAAATATATTACGATGGACAATAATTTAGTTGCTAAAATTTGAAAGTTAGTCGCTAAATGGTAGTTGCAAAGGCGTTGCAAATCTGTCGCTAAATTTGCGACTGTTCAAAAATTAGTCGCAAAAATGGATTTGCGACGAGGTCTTTGGCAACGAACCAAAGTAGTTGCAAATCCGTCGCAAATCCATTTTTGCGACGGATTTGCGACTACTTTGGCCGTCGCTAATTACCCTTTTTCTTGTAGTGGGCAATTCTTCATGAAAACCATTGTTCTAATTCTAGTTTAATTGGTTTAGTACACCGTTTCTTGAATGCACAAGAGCATGCTTGGTAATTGGTACATTGTACGCGTATATTACTCTTTTACATATTGATCAAGCATATTCAAAGACTATGTTTTCATAGAGAATTGCCAAAGACGGTGGTTGATTTGCTTTGTTGTGGTGGTGAGGTTGGAGGAGGTCACGGAAGGAGGGAGGATAATATGAGGATCATAAACAACAATTCATTTTATATATCTCCACATCTGCATAGAAAGTTATATGGTCTCCCCATCTCAAATACATATTATATGAAATAAAACTCAAATTATTTATCATTTAATCCGTCTCTAAAAGTTCTTTTAATTTGAATTTTAATTTTTCTTTGAAGTTGCTCTCCAGTTCACTAATTAACAAAATCGAAACCTAAAAATGATTTTTTGTGTTAATTGGGTTCTAAAACTGTTTAATGGATGGTATTTAATTAGCTCATCTGTTAGTTTGCATTTGGTCACAGGTAAATACTCGTATGTTGGTGGTGTGGGTAAAATCAACTGTAATTCCTATGGTGTTGGTAAAATGATTATTTGGCCATTCGTATCAATTAGAGGGTATAATATTGATTACATGAGTAAACAATTCTACAATGGTTTTCTAATATATTAATCAATACATCATCATCCCAACATTGAGCATGTGGAATTCAGCAAAAAGTTCCCAAATATTACAACAATGCCATTATATCAACATATTTTTGTTGATAGTGGATATCAATGGGGTGTGGCCTTAATTTTCATATATATATATACTGTATATATGCTTAATAATATACTGAAATTTTTGTTAATGAAATTTTGTTAATACTAAAATAAATGTCACCAATTTAATTTAATGGATTAATAATATAATTCAATAAATTCTAAAAAAAAGAAAATTAATATTATAATAATCTCTAATATAAACGGCTAGAAAATGCACGTTAATTAATACATAAATCAAAATATGACAATGATTGAAATGAAATAACATTAATGGATGTACAATACGTACTCATCAACTCATATATGACTATATGTATGTGGATTTTATATATTTAAGTAAAACTATTGATACCGTTATACAACAAAAATTGTCAAGACCTATCAACCATCAATAAAAACGAACCTAGGTTGTGGCTATCAAAACATACGTAGACGACGGGGTACGGTGTGACCACTAGCAATTGAAGTAGCACGCAAAATCAAGTGATGGGGAGAGTAAAGAAGAAAGAGTTATAAGAGAAGAATGTAATTGTACACTTGTACTGTCTGATCATGTCTTGACTCACTCTTCAAGTCGTTATAAAGCCTTCAATATCAGTCATCACCTCTGCAAATTAACGGAGTACAAATAAACAGTGATAAATTGAGAGATTGAGATGTTACATGTAGGGCTGGGACTTTTCAAACCGAACCGTGAAACCGCCCGTTACCGAACCGAACCATCACGGACCGATCCGTTTATAAACCGATAAATACAAACCGAAAATCGAACTGAACCGTTCAATATCAAACCGAAACCGAATTGAACCGCTCAATGTCAACCCGTTACGGACCGTAAACCGATAACAAACCAAACTGCGCAAATCCGAACCGAAACGAAACCGAATTGAATGGTTTATAAACCCGTTAATGACCCGAACCGTTTATAAACCGAAACCGTTTAAACCGAAAAAAAAACCGTTTAAACCGAACCATTTGTAACACGCTAACCGTTTAAACCGACCCGTTTATGAACCGAAACCGTTTAAACCGCACGTATAAACCGAACCGTTATAATCCGCTAACCGTCTAAACTGAACTGCCATAACCCGTTAAACCGTTAAAATCGAAATGTTTTCGAATCGCAACCTGTTTAAACTGATCCGATTACAAACTGCTTAATTCAAATTGAATTATTTACAACCTAAATGGCTAAATAGTAAATACAATTAATGTTAATAAATGTAGATCTAATCAAACGGCTTAGGTTTATACAAAGGTTTATATCACCTAGATCTAGGCCAACGACATTATTAATATCGTTTTAGATTACTTATTTATTTTAATTACAAGATATATCATTTGTATAATTGTATCATTTTCATTCCAGTAATAATGCTAGTCCACCCAAATTATCTTCATTGTTCCTTGATATTCATGATCATCCAATAACACTCAAAGCCTCAAAGGTAACATAAGATTGGAGATGTATGAGATTGTGTTACACAAGTGGCATAAGCATTAGAATATTACTGTACTAGTCAATAAGGCGTACAATCATTCATATTATCACTTTATAAAACTTTCTTATACAAGTATTTTGTAAAGGGGAGGACTAAAATGTTTATAAAACACATTTTTTTAGCTTTTCTTAAATTAAACCAGATATTAAGTAAAAGAATTTTAATAAATATGGAGGCATCCAAATCTGTAGCCACAATTATTTCATAACATTACCACAAATCCAGCAGATAAATAGCATTAAAATTAGAGTAATATCAACAAGCAATTAAAAAAAGTCACCATTTTCATTGATTAAAATTCACAATACATATACCAATACATAATGAAACTACTATCACTACTACCCAGATTAGATTTCAGATTTATCAACTGAAATATCATCAAGTTTAGGGTTGCAAAAAATGATACATGATAAGATGAAGGGAGGAGTGAGAATGTGAGTGATTTGGGAGCAGAATCTTGAAGCAGAATCTTGAAGCAGCAGCACAGCACCCAAGAGTTGAGGAAATAGCAGCAACAAGCAGGAACCAGCACACGCAATAACAGATCAGCAACTTATCAGAAGCAAGGAATAATATAAGCAGAAGGGACTCAGCAGGAACTTATTTTTGTTTTTCAAAATTGCTCTCAGATTTACGTTTATCGTATCATCACTGAGCAATGGCTGTTTTAACTTAAAACTTGAAAAATGCTGCCAGCAAGTACATATACATTGAAGTCTCAACATAAATGACAAGGGCAACGATGATTCAAGAAAAATTAAAACAGCAAGCATAAGAAACAGCAGCAACAAAACAGCAGCAAGCATAAGAAATAGCAGCAACAAAACAGCAGCAGCAACAACTCAGCAGAGACAACAACCAAAAGGCAAAAGCACTACCAGCAGGCAGCAGCTCATAACAAGTTCAAGCAACTTCAAAATTATAGCTTTTGTTTTTAAAATTGCTCTCAGATTTACATCACTGAGCAATGGTTGTTTTAATAAAAACTTGAGAAATGCTGCCAGCAAGTACCAAAATACATTTAACTATTTAAGTCTCAACATAAGTGACGAGGGCAACGATTTTAAAAGTCTTGAAAAATGCTGCTAGCAAGTCTGAAAATAAATGACAAGGGCAACGATTTTTCAAGATAAAATAAACCACAATGAGACACAAATACCAGTTATGCAGATGAAGCACTTTCGGCTTCAATCTCTTTACCAATAAGGAGGACGTCTTCCTCAACATCCGCTTGATAACCACGGCACCAATTTTGGGTGGTAGCCAATGCCTCAACATTCTTTGGCAAAAGTTTACCCCTATATTTGTTCAAAATACGACCACCCAAACTAAAAGAAGATTCAGAGGTCACCGATGTAATAGGAATGGCCAAAACATCCCTTGCCATATTAGCTAAAATAGGAAGAGAAGAAGCTTGAGATTCCCAATACTTGAGAACGTCAAAATGTTCCCCTTGAATTAATCGCGAACGAGGTCCATTCAAATATGCCTCAAGATCAGCCAGAGGGCATCTAGTTGAATCATCACATTCGTCATCAACCTCACGCAACTGAAACAGATTTTTTATTATAAAAGTTAAATTATGACATTACAAATAAAAATAGAAGACTACCATTAATATTGAGTATATTGTATAACATAAATACCGTGAACATATTTTGAGATCTCAACGTGCAATTAGAATTTTCAGATTGAGCTGTGTTTGAAGAGGCAGGATTTCTGCAGCTTGTATTAGATGCAGTAGAATAAAATTTATAAAGGTCATAAAAAGCTTCCTTAATCATCATAATCTTTTCGTCGCATGCCTCATAATTATACAACGAGTTCAACATATGCCTCACTCGAAACAACTTATAACGAGGATCAAGAGCAATAGCAACTGAAAGTATCAAACTATAATCCTCCCAATAACTCTCAAACTTCTCAAGCATAACTGCTGCCATGGGTGCAAGTTTAGGGTCTTTAAAGGCTTGAGTAATAGCGTACTCAATTTTTAAAACACTAACAAAATACAAATTAGAAGTGGGATATTCGGTACCAGAAAATAACACAGTTATATCATTAAATGGCTGAAGGAAATCACAAATTTTTTGA